ATATATGGTGCATGTTGTACCGTATTTATATGATAATGAATAATAATCTAGTATTTTCCTTTACAAAATAACCTTATTCAATCAAGCGTTTTCTTTTACAAAATATCCTTATAAGTTCATTCACAAGACGGATTTGAAAAAACAAGTGATAAGAAACAAATATAAGTGCAATAACTAGGCAATACCACAACACTACAATGGAAATACGATGACAATACAAATGCAATAGGGGAGCAATACAATGGCAATACAAAAACTCCACATTCCCACTATAATTTCATTCCACATTCCCACTATATATTCATAATCTACAACATATTACAAAAAGGATGTGACATCCTTAATGGAATCACATTTTACACTCCTATATCGTCAAAATACCCTCGAGCAAGGAATGGACAGAGAGGCTTCTGTAAAAGTTGAGGTATAATGATCTTCCTCTATTCAAAAAACAACAATCATATCTGTTTTTGCATAGTGATTTTTATTACATCATTCGTATAATGAGCATCCCTGTAAAAGTTTAGGTATAAGGAGCATCTTTAACTACCCAGAAGAAGACAATGAAACAATAAATAAATAAAACTGACAAAATACTATGAAACTAATATTCCACAATCTCTTTGTAAATGAAGAACATACAGCAGGGACAAAACACAATACATCATTCGTCAAACTAGGGGAGTAGATTAGCCATAACAAACCACGTTTTTGTGAAACCTACTTGTTTGATTGCCGAGACTTGAAAAAAATACTTGTTTGATTGCCAGTGTTTATTTTTTAGCATTCATTCTTTGTTCTTAACTCCTATTTTAACTATCCTATGTTGCCTTTTATATCGAAGAGCAAAAACACATAATAGTAAAAATCCAAAACAGAGTATGGTGAAGGCTTTGATCCGTGAGTGAAGGCCCAAAGCTTAAGCATTAAGGAAGACCCAACTTTGACCACACAAAAAAGGAAGACCCAAAAGGCGCCAAAGGCCCAGAAATTAAAAAGCAATCAAAACGACGTCGTAGCCGCTTTTGAGCCGTCAAACACGACGCGACAGAGCGGCAACAGGCGGGTCCTTCCACACAAACACCGACTCACACGCACTCAAGAGATATCATATCTGCCGTCAGATCATCAAAACGAACGGCTGTGATCTGCGACATACTAGAGAAAAAGAAAAAAAAAAAGTAGGCCCAACAAAAAACATACGACACCAGTAAAGTAAAAAGAAATAATTAGTATTTTCCAACCTATGTGGAAATTCATAGTCACTTGGGTCCACTGACGTGGGCCAATCGGCTACCAGAAAAAAAACAACCACATCACCTGCACCTGCAGTGAGGTTTACAAAGTCTTCACCATACTTTTTACAACAAAATGACCACAATTACCACTACACCAAATGCTAGTTAGCGAGAAGTAGGAAATTAAGGCCCTTAATTACCCATTTATTTTTTCTTTTTAAAACTTGTTGTACCAGTTCTAACACGGCAGAACAAAACTAGAGTTTGTTTAATTCCTGGTGAGAGATCAATTTAGTTTTGGTTGTTTGGACATTGATTTAGTCGTTTCTCCCTATGTCCATGTCAGCATAATATTCTACATAATTTTGAGTGGTGCCTAGTGCACTATAAATCTCATTCACAACATAAGCTTTTGGGGTCTTGTTTTCAGTCATCTGAGACTCTTTGGATTTCAAACGGGAAATACATTTCTCTGAATTTTTAGTTTTGTTTTTCTTATTTGCGCAAATTTTGTTGGAGTTTTCTTCAGGTAGCATGGCGTCCATTATTGCAAGCTTGCCTCCACCACTTTTCGCTGCCCATGGTAGAAATAATACCTTCTGCAGAGCTCTTCCAAAACTCCCAGTTTCTCCCATTAGAGGTGAGCCTCCTCAGAGATACCGAAGCTGCTATTTTGGGTTTTTTTTTCTTTCTTTGAAATTTGAGTTGTACTTAAACTACTCTTTTTTCTTTGACAGAGTTTCTGCTTTATTTGTTTGTTATTTTATTTTCCTTAAATAAGTTATTCTATTTGATGAGCTGAGTTGAAATAATAATCAATTTTATGTTGAGGGTGTCTGTTTGGTTGTTTTCAGTGAAGTGTGAAGGTGAAAATCAGCTAGTTTAGTTGAAAATTGGGGCAATCTGGTCAAAGTTCTGTGTTTCCATGTTACATGGAGGAAGGATTTGTTGAATTATGGTATTTGACTATAAGATTTTAAAGGATTGGAAAACTCAGATAAGCTAGCTAATGCAGTATATAAGATATTAATTTCTGTAATGAAATTTATAGAAGAAGAAAAAGAAGAAATAAGGTCAACAGAAGTAATCTTAATGGAACTCCCCAACAATTTAGAATAGAAACTCTGTGGGGAATTGATTGAAGTAAACAATTGAATCCGAAACACTAGGTTTAAGTTATCGGAATTTTTTGGGGTTGATGATTATGAGTCTCAGTGTCATATCAAATTCAATTTGACATGCAAATATTCCATACCTTGGCTGCATTGTTGTCTCATATTAGGTGCATAATTTTCTTACATTGCAGAGAGACAGAATCGTGCTTCTGTCGTGGTGAAGGCTACTGGGGAAAGCTCGGAGTCTTCGAACTCCCTTAGTATTGTAAAATCTGTTCAGAATGTCGTAAGCTCTTACCCTCTGTGTTCTTGTAATCACATCTTGTTTATGTCTGGTTTGTGTTGTGTTTATTCAATCAAAAAAGCATTGTTTGGCAAAATCAAATCATGTTATGCTTGGGTGAGCTTGGATCTTTATGCAATATTTCCATTCTTCTTTTCTTTCCTCTAATGGTTTTCAATTGTGTGCTAAGTTCATAGCTTCCTCCTTTATTAAATTGCAAGAAAGGGTGTCTATTTCTCATCTATGAGATAATTGACTGCGATATGTTCCGCTAATAAGCTAAGAATTTATAGTTTTCCAACGTTTGGTCAGTTTATTTTTTCCACATTAAGCAGTAGTTTCTTCATTCCATAGAAATGACGAGTTAATTTTGGTTTCTTTTTAAATGTCAGTCTCAATATTTTCTTGATCTTGTTATGATTTGAAACAGTGGGATAACTCGGAAGATCGGCCAGGTCTTGTTGGTTTGGGGTTTGCAGCTATAGTTGCATTTTGGGCATCATCGAATCTGATTACAGTAATTTCTGGATCTCTCTCTTCTTTACGTTGTTAACAGGAAATGATTTACTCAAATAAAACAAGAGTCGTTGCAACTGTAGATAGGATCGATCTTATATGTACTAATACCGACTAGAATCATCTGGTTTCTTCACTGACCCATTTTTCAGATACCTTGGGGTGGTGTTGAGAAATCAACTTCAAAGTTTCCACACCTAGTCATATTGCTCCAACATAGGATAGATTTTTTAAGAAGACAACCAACACACTAGTTTAGAGCAATTGCATTTGCCTACATCTTATGGTATTATTTGCAGATTTTTTAACTTTGCCACACACATACACTGTTTTCATCAGTGAACTGACTTTCAGCTTCTTGACCCAAAAAAAAACAAAAAAAAACACATTCAGCTTAAAAGGAGTTCTTACGGTTTAATGCCCCTCCCCACTGTTTATGTGTATAGGCCATCGACAAGTTGCCGCTTATCCCAAGTGTGCTAGAATTTGTTGGAATACTTTATTCTTCGGTAAGTATGTGTTACATGTATTATGTAGTTGGTTGCTAAGGAGAAAGTTTTTATTTAAGTTTTCCTTTGGTAGGGCAACTTTCACATATGTAGTCTTTATTTACTCTTGTTTCATTCAAATATTAATTTGCCTCTCTCTCTCTGTATTTGTTTCAGTGGTTTATATATCGATATCTCTTATTCAAGCCAGATCGGTAAGAGAAAATCCGATGACTTACAATTTTATTTTGCTTTGAAAATAAGAAAGATTACCTTATGCATGACTTTTAGATTTAGATGGTGCAACCAAATCTTTGTGTAACTTCAGTTGTAATACAAGCAGATGCTGTTCAGTAGTTTTCTACTAAGAACTCACTTGGATTTTCTCCTTTTGTCCACAGGGAAGAGTTTTTCCAAATCGTCAACAAATCAATATCAGATATCTTGGGCCAGTGAATTTGTAATCAATCCCAACTGATATTGGGGCAAATGTGCAATTCCAGATATGAGAATGTATTTTGGGGAAGGGATTGACAGGAAGTGGGTGGAGTGAGAGAGCAATTTGTACAACATTTGCTCACATTTTATTGTGGTGGATCATTTCCTTATCTCTCTTGGTTTCCATCTTTCGATGGAGAACCCTACTTGAAGTTGACCCAGAAAGCACATCCTCCCATCTCTGGTCACCAAAACAATAGAATTAAAACCAAGTAGCTTAGCATGATTTAATCTGGAACCAAGTGCATGAACTATTTGAGCCTTAACAAACAATGGTAAATGATAATTAAATTATGAAGGGTAACATATTCAGAAGAAGAAAAGCATTGAAATTTCACTTATTAGTAAGAGAACTTGTTGTCCAAGTCCTTCATAATTGTTTCTCAGCACTAAGTACAGATTTATCAGTTCTTGGCCTATGGCCTAAACCCAACCTTTCATCATTTCAACTAGCAAATCAAGCTTCTCTCATCTGTACACATCTTGGGTGAGCCTTGTCCCAACAAGAAATGCATGTATCTCTCATCTTTTAGCTCATGTTGATCACAACACCTAATCTGCAGGGAAAATTACTCTTTATGAGCGGGAACATGTAGAGAGACTAGTGATGGGGCTTGTAGCTCAAGGTGGTTAAAAACAATTATCCTTTCTCGCTATAGCTTGTATCACCAAAGATAAAATAAAAAGGAACTTCATTATAATAATAAAAAATTTGTTGGGGATTTTTTTATGCGATTTTTTTGGTTGGGTTAACTTATAAATATTTTGGGATTAAATAAAGGCACCCAAAAATAATTTATTGCATGCTGGGACAACAAACGACGTCGTAGGCTTTTAATCGTACTCAGCACTTAAAAATTCGCTTTACAGAGCTATCAGAATTCGGATCAACCCCCTATTGTCCGTCTCTTTCCACAAAACCACTCTCTAATTTCACCCTTCGTGAAACCAACCGTGAATCTCACAGAAGCTTCCTTCTTCAGCTCAAAAAGCATACGCCATGATTTGAATCACCAGGAATTAATCGGACCACCTCAACCAGGTTCATTTCTCTTTTGCCTTTTTCTGATTCGACCTATTTGGAATCGGATCTCGATCAGTTTTCAAATTTGATTTCAGTTTATGGTTGGTTCTTATAATTGAATTTGAATTGAATCTGATTCGGTGTTTTGTTTTAAAGAATGGCGTGGTTCAGTGGGAAAGTCTCTTTGGGGAACTTCCCCGATCTCGCCGGGGCCGTGAATAAGCTCCAGGAGAGCGTCAAGAACATCGAGAAGAATTTCGATAGCGCCCTTGGGTTCGAAGAAAAAGAGAAGGCCGAATCCGGTAATGAAGGTACTTCTCAAGCTCACACATTGTTCATATGTATCGCTCTGTCTCTTTTTTTTATTTTTTATTTGTGGTATTTTTGTTAATGATAATTATAGTACTGATTATTGGGTAGAGAAGGAGCTACATTCTATGCTTCATGAAGTAAAATGGCTGAGCAACTCAAATTTTGGTTTACACAACCAAGGCAAAAGGAAAATACTAATTTTGGAGCTTATATATGGTGGTTATATAAGTTGCAGTTTCCGTTAGTTGTAAATCATGATTTCCTTAGCGTATTTAATTGCATTGTGTTTCTAGTTTCGGGTAGAACAGAGTTTTCAATGATAAGATTAATTTGGAAAAAGGAATTCTGGTAGTTATGCTGTGTTATCTATTTTTGCATGAAAGTTGAAAGTAAGATGTTCCCTCTATATGTGTGACAGCTTCAGGATTATGGCCTTCATCTACTGAAAGGAAATTGCTATTTGATCCTGTTATTTCCTTTATGGGACAAACAAATGAGGGAAGTGGTGTTGATTCATCACAGAAAGCTGAGTCTTCAGAGCATCCGCCAAAGGCTGACAAATCATCAGGGGAATATGAATCTCCACAGAAACCATCTACTGTTGAGGTAAAGGAATGGGTCAAAACAGAAACTTTACAACACTCTTCAATTGAACAGACGGCTGATAAGGAGGAAACTGAAGTTGTCAAGGAAGAAACAGATGATAAGCATGCTGCAACGGTGGAGGAAACAAAGACTGTGGTAGCAGAGCCTGAAAAATCTGAATCTGAATCATCTTCACTGCCAGTTGAGCCCTTTGAACCCACTGTTAAGAATGATGGCCCATCAGAATCTGTGGGTTCACAAGATGACAACAAGATTTCAGTAGTGGGACCCTCAGTAAATCCAGAAACATTGCAGGGTGAGTCAGGAGCTGTTGAAGTAGATCAAGTTGAGGAGGGTCATACTGTTCTTCCGCGTGAGGCACATGATGTTGATGTGCATGAGACTGTGGATGAACAAAAGACACAAGTAGAGCAGAATGATGGACATATGACTCAGGCTGGAGAGATTGTTGAAACAGTTGCTATGGTTGAAGGTGAGACTCCAACTGATAGCCAGCCTGGAGGTTTGACTGAGCCCTCCAGTTTACACTCTGTTACCACTGGGGAAATTCATAGTGGTAGATCTTCTACCAATCAACCACCAGGTGTAAATCCTTCTGATGATGCTTCGGATGCGGTTTCTGAATCGGTTTCTAAAGAACATAATGCCATTGTTGAGGAACCTGAAGTTGAGCAACAAGCTGATGATAATGAAGCTGATGTTAAACAGCAACATCTGAGCTCAGGGGAAAATGCGTCTGACTCTTCAGATGTTATGATTGAATTGGAGAAGGTGAAGATGGAGATGAAGATGATGGAAGCTGCATTGCAAGGTGCTGCAAGACAGGCCCAGGTACATGATAAATGATTATGTAGCATCTTATTTGAGAGCTCATAAGATCACAACAATTTATTATTATCCCTGTTCATTTAGTGGAACACTTGAGACAATACTACTGAACTTCTTGACTGGATTTCTTTAATTTAGTAGCACTGTCTACATATATCGGAGGTTTATGAAGGTTGCTTAGTTAACCCGAACACCTTTCCTCTTGCAGATGGTGTTGTCTGTGTCTGTGTCTGTTGATTTAGGAAAATAGAAACATTTTGTATTTCTGTATATGGTAATTAAGTTAAAGTAGCGACAAATACAAGAGAAGAATTATAATACTCTTTCTTCGTTGTGGATCTCTCGGGGTGCTGTTATGTTACATTGTTAATGTCTGTTTCATTGTATGTAATCTACAATTCTGAACGTCTGATATATTTGATTCCTTTTCCAGGCAAAAGCTGATGAGATTGCAAAGTTTATGAACGAAAATGAGCAATTAAAATCTGCGATCGAGGATTTGAAGGTATGCATTTTATATATTTTTATACCTTCATTTGAGTAGATAAAATAATGACTTGATCATGCATGCTTTACTTTGATTTTTCACTCTTGGTGTATAATGCACTTGTATTTGCTACCATCTTCCATTTATAACCCAGCATAAAGGCAAATCACGGAAATTCTTATAGGGAGGTAGTTGCCCCCGCAGCTTGTCACTGAATGAAGCATCTGTGGAGAATTGTTGGATGAAATTATCTTTGCTATATTCATGCTACTTCCTCTTGTGGGTGGTTTATGTTGAGTTAATATTGAAATTTTAAAATGCATTCTTCTTTCAATTTTGATTTCAACATTTTCTTCAAAATTGTTTGTGTGTAAATGTAAAATAAAGGCATAGATTCTAATTTGACTATTCATTTTGCCCAAAAGCATTCCTGATGCTTGATCTTTGTTAGTGTAACATTCATGTTATGGAATTATAAGTTTGCACATACAATTTGATGGTTGTCTCATTATATGTTTCATGTTTTGGAAAATTTCTGGTATTTCTTGAAACCAACCACGGTTGACTAGTTCACATTCGCATTATCAATTTTTTTTTCTTTCCCAATTTGCTTTATCAGCCATATAGTATTGTAATTTTAATAATTATTTTTCTTATAGATGTTCACATATTAATGGGTGAAAATAATTGAACAGAGAAAATCCAATGATGCAGAAGTCGAGTCGCTGCGAGAGGAATACCATCAAAGGGTTGCAACACTTGAAAGGAAGGTAGGTCTTCTCATAAAGTCTTGTTTATAATTGTGCTTGGATTGATCTAGGTGTTATACGTGCCCCGTTATGTTTTTGATGAATTGGGTACTTGCCTATTTTTAATTCAGCTCCTGATAATTGGAGGGTCTATGCCAACTTGTGATTGCAGGTGTATGCTCTTACTAAGGAAAGGGACACGCTTCGGCGGGAGCAGAATAAGAAAAGTGATGCAGCTGCTCTTCTGAAGGAAAAGGATGAAATAATTAATCAAGTTATGGCTGAAGGTCTCTTTCTGTCCCTGTCTGTCTCTGTTTCTCTTGAGATGCTCAATATGTTCTACATATTTTGTGCCTCATAGTGTATTTCAACCTAGCCAATGTTCTATTGTGGATGCAAGGAGGGTTTCTTTATGCAATCATATCAATCATTATGGAAATTCCTTCATTTATGCATTTTTATGTACCAGGTGAAGAACTTTCAAAAAAGCAGGCTGCTCAAGAAGGGCAGATTAGGAAATTAAGGGCTCAGGTATGCTAGCCGGTTTATTCATTGTCTGATTTTGTCATTCTTTAATCCTTTCACTGCTAGGTATTCTTATCTTTTTTCTCTGAAAACTAGATCAGAGAGTTTGAAGAAGAGAAGAAAGGGTTGATTACTAAACTTCAGGTAATTCAGTTATGTTAGAATCCTTAAAATTATGGTTCTCTGATTTAGTTTGATAAAGACAACTCTTTCAGTCATCATAAAATTTGAAATGACATTGCAGTTACAGCACATAAATTGATGAAGCACTTGTTTTCCTTTTTTTTCTCAAAGCTGCTTGCCGAAAGCATCCATATTGGATAATGGATTATCCCACAAAGGATTTCTTGGTCATATTTCTGTTTTTATGTCGCCTGCTTTCTTAGTAGTCAATTTCATAATATCTTAAAACAGTCAACCATTTTACCCCAGGAACATTATTATAATAGTTTATATGTTGTCTTACAAGCATATTCTAATTTAAATATCTAGAGGAACTACTGCCAAGGATATTATACACATGGTTAATGAATTTACATTTACTGAATTTGCCTGTGGTGCAAAATGCCTTTCATTACTAATATGCAAGTTTGTGGTTTACCTTCAGGTAGAAGAAAATAAAGTGGAGAGTATCAAGAGGGACAAGACGGCTACAGAAAAATTGCTGCAGGAAACTATAGAAAAGCACCAAACAGAACTCGCAGCACAGAAAGAGTATTATACTAATGCTTTGGCTGTTGCCAAGGAGGCAGAAGCGATGGCAGAGGCACGTGCCAACAGTGAAGCCAGATCTGAGCTTGAGAGTCGTCTAAGAGAGTCTGAGGAACGGGAAGCTATGCTAGTTCAGGCACTTGAAGAATTACGACAAACGCTGACTAGAACGGAGCAGCAGGTTTTTTATTCGAGTATTGTAATTGTTGGTTAATTTAGCTGACCTGCCAAAAGTGATGGCCTAAATGATCTATCTATTGTTTTTCAGGCAGTATTTAGGGAAGACATGCTTCGCCGGGACATTGAGGATCTTCAGAGACGTTATCAAGTCCGTAAAGCTGTCTTTGATTGTCATTAAACCAATTTTTCACTTTTTTTTTATATTTCTTTTTTTGTTCCAATTGTTGCAAATATCTTGCAATTTATTTGACTTAGCTGTTGTTTTCTTCAGGCAAGTGAGCGGCGATGTGAGGAATTGATTACGCAAGTACCAGAATCTACCAGGCCTCTTCTTAGGCAGATTGAAGCTATGCAGGTTAATGCATATTCCAATGCTTTTTTTTTTTAGACTACTTCAACACATTTTTTGGAAATATTCTCAGGATTTTTGTGCACTTTGGATGCTGGTCTTTAGTTTACTTGACTCAATCCTATGGAGTTGATTTCAGTTTTGATTGTTTCCCTGGTAACAGGAAACAACTTCAAGAAGGGCAGAAGCTTGGGCAGCTGTTGAGAGGTCTCTTAACTCTCGGCTCCAGGTTTGTGGAACGTCTTAGCCGTTATGGTTTTAATTTGAAATATGTACATATCATTGATCTTTTACTGCTTCTATAGGAAGCAGAGGCCAAAGCTGCGGCTGCTGAGGAAGGAGAGCGATCTGTGAATGAACGCTTGTCTCAAACCTTATCTCGAATTAATGTTCTTGAGGCTCAGGTTGGCTTTTTATTGGTTGTATCATTGGAAACTATCAATTATCGCTATCATTTTATTAACTTAAACCAGATATACACTTCAGATTTCATGTCTTAGAGCTGAACAATCCCAGTTAAGTAAGTCTCTAGAAAAGGAGAGACAAAGAGCAGCTGAAAATAGGCAGGAGTACCTTGCAGCAAAGGAGGAAGCTGATACTCAAGAAGGCCGTGCAAACCAGCTTGAAGAAGAAATTAGGGAACTCAGGCGAAAGCATAAGCAAGAGTTACAAGATGCATTGATGCATAGGGAACTGCTACAGCAGGTGGTGCTTTGGGTTCCTTGATAAATTTTTATTTAAATTTATCAGTGTCAGTCTACTATATTTCAATGCCATGAAACCTGGGCTCTCGCCTCCTATTTATTTGTCGGGTTGTTAAATGAAGTTACCTTTCCCTTTAATATTTGTATTAGCAAGAGTTGATTTGAAGATCTGAAGTAAGGAGTAAGGCAATTGAAAAGGACGAAACAGTTGATAGAAAACTTCTCTGAGCATATCCAAAATTGAATTCCTTATTCAAAATATATAACATTAGTGATCATTAGCTTTCCTGAATTGAGTTTTTGATTTTGACAGGAGGTAGAAAAGGAGAAAGCTGCTAGGTTGGATTTGGAAAGGACATCTCGTGTGCGTTCTACTACTGTATCTGATCAAAGTGCTATAACAAGGCACAGTTCGGCTTTAGAGAATGGTATGATACTTTAGTTTATGTTACATCTGTTTTGATTGTCTGTCGTCTAGGCTATACATTTTGTAACTTTTAACAGGAAGCTTGAGCCGAAAACTTTCAAGTGCTAGCAGCCTGGGGAGCATGGAGGAAAGCTATTTTCTGCAAGCATCTTTGGACTCATCCGATAGTTTCTCTGAGAGGAGAAATGCTGGGGAGGCAACCATGAGCCCTTACTATATGAAGAGCATGACACCTAGTGCTTTTGAAGCTTCCCTTCGTCAGAAGGAGGGTGAACTTGCATCTTACATGTCTCGTTTGGTATGAATTACTTTCTGAGCTCCGCATATACAAAAATTTAATTCTACATTACTTATAGTGTTTGCTATGGTATTAAGTATTCCCTATTTGAGCTCTACTTAGAGCTGCTATTGTTGAAACTTGAAAGTAAAGCGTTATGTTTTCAAAAATTAAAAACTAAAGGATCTATCGTGGACTTTTGAGCCCCTTACAATATTTATTGTTGTGTTTTACCTAAGACGTTTTTCATCAATGTTACTCAGGCATCCATGGAATCCATTCGCGATTCTCTTGCTGAGGAGTTAGTCAAAATGACAGAACAGGTTGAGTTTCAATCTGTAATAATACTTTTGTGGAGGTATCTTGTTTATAATTGAGCTTGAAATTGATTACATTGCTGCAGTGTGAAAAGTTACGGGCAGAGGCTGGCATGTTACCCAGCATACGAGCAGAGCTAGATGCACTAAGGAGGCGGCACTCTGCTGCACTGGAGCTAATGGGCGAACGTGATGAGGAGGTACATTTAAGTTTCCAGTTGGAATTCTTTTGCAATGATAGTGAATCATTGATCTATGAATGCTGTGTACATGAGGCGTGTATTGAAATTATAAAAGAGAGAGAGAGAGAGAGAGAGAGAGAGAGACTTTTTCTGTATAGAATTTTAATTTATCCGTAAAAATCAGACAGCCTGCATAGGCAAACTTTCGACAGATGGAGGATTTATCTAATCTGCCTTCATATTTGTCTGCTATGCTGTTTTCTTTGTCCAGAGAAACCATCATCACTTTTCGAGTTTAAAATACTTGATATTAGTCGACATGAACCAAGTTCTGTTAACATGTATGACTAGTTGCACCAAAGTGAATAATTTCCCTTATTTGTCATTTTCCAATTTGTTCTATTTATCTACTCTATTTGGAATGCACAAAAATCGCCATTTTATGTCAAATCCTGATCTCAAAGTGGTTCCATGTGTCTGTCTAGCTGGAGGAACTTCGCGCAGATATTGTAGACTTGAAGGAGATGTACAGAGAGCAATATTCCCTATTTGAGCTCTACTTAGAGCTGCTATTGTTGAAACTTGAAAGTAAAGCATTATGTTTTCAAAAATTAAAAACTAAAGGATCTATCGTGGACTTTTGAGCCCCTTACAATATTTATTGTTGTGTTTTACCTAAGACGTTTTTCATCAATGTTACTCAGGCATCCATGGAATCCATTCGCGATTCTCTTGCTGAGGAGTTAGTCAAAATGACAGAACAGGTTGAGTTTCAATCTGTAATAATACTTTTGTGGAGGTATCTTGTTTATAATTGAGCTTGAAATTGATTACATTGCTGCAGTGTGAAAAGTTACGGGCAGAGGCTGGCATGTTACCCAGCATACGAGCAGAGCTAGATGCACTAAGGAGGCGGCACTCTGCTGCACTGGAGCTAATGGGCGAACGTGATGAGGAGGTACATTTAAGTTTCCAGTTGGAATTCTTTTGCAATGATAGTGAATCATTGATCTATGAATGCTGTGTACATGAGGCGTGTATTGAAATTATAAAAGAGAGAGAGAGAGAGAGAGAGAGAGAGAGACTTTTTCTGTATAGAATTTTAATTTATCCGTAAAAATCAGACAGCCTGCATAGGCAAACTTTCGACAGATGGAGGATTTATCTAATCTGCCTTCATATTTGTCTGCTATGCTGTTTTCTTTGTCCAGAGAAACCATCATCACTTTTCGAGTTTAAAATACTTGATATTAGTCGACATGAACCAAGTTCTGTTAACATGTATGACTAGTTGCACCAAAGTGAATAATTTCCCTTATTTGTCATTTTCCAATTTGTTCTATTTATCTACTCTATTTGGAATGCACAAAAATCACCATTTTATGTCAAATCCTGATTTCAAAGTGGTTCCATGTGTCTGTCTAGCTGGAGGAACTTCGCGCGGATATTGTAGACTTGAAGGAGATGTACAGAGAGCAAGTAAACTTGCTTGTCAACAAGGTAATATTTTTCCCAGAAAAGCCTGAGTTATTTTTTTCCCTAAAAGCTCATGACTTTACCCTTCTAATGTCGTACAATTATATCTTCGCATGTATATCTACAGATCCAGATAATGAGTTCATCAGTTGGAGCCTAACCTTACTTTATAGTACTCGTCTTCGAATTCATGAAGTTCATGGTATATAGTTTTATATCTCATATTGTATACATACTGATGGCAATTGTTTGTTGAAAATTTATATTTGGATTCTGGGTCTCCCAAAGTTTTTCTTGGCCTAAGAGTTTGGGTAGCAACTATTGAAAGGATATATTATATGGCCGCCCTTGTTAAACATGTATGTAATTCAGGGGGATTTGTTGTATAGCATGAACCCTACTGTCACATTTCTTCTTCTTTATTTTTTCCAGGTTATAATGTTTCAAGTTTTGTTTTATTTGATTTACTTTATTAATAAAATGAATTCATTTTTTAAAAAATCCTTTTTCTCTAAGGATCGTTTATAATATTCAAGTAATTTTATTTCCTATGGTTCACCTTGCTAAAGAAATTCAAATCGTTCTGGTCAGAGAGAATTCAAATCGAAACCGTGAAGGTCGCATATTTGCTGAGACTAGATGCCCATTTTCGTGTGAATTTGGGTCTCAGGAAAATGTTCCCGCAGTTTTATTTGAGCACACAAGTTGGGCCGTGTCCGGTGCATGGAATTTGAGGAGCATGCTAAAACTCACCTACAACTAAGGAATTTGAGGAGCTTGCTAAAACTCACCTACAACTAAGGGCCGTTTGGTATACTATTTGGATTCAATTTTATAAACTCAAAAACAGATTTTAAGTCTAAAGCTATAAAAACTCATTTGGTAAGCTCATTTTTAAAAACCCAAACCCAAAATAAACTAAAAAAAACACTCCCATTATTGAAAACAAAAAAAGTGAGATTTCAGAGTTCTCTCTCTCTCTCCTTTTCTTTTGTTAATTTCAATTTTGAAATTTAGGGTTTCAGATTTTGTAATTTTAATTTTAAATTTTTTTAGATCTTAAAAATAGTTCGGAGTTCAATACCAAACAAATTTTTAGATCTTAAAATCAATATTTAAAAACTCACGTTTAAAACATAATAATAATAATGAATTTTGAGTTGGATACCAAATAAGCCCTAAATGTTTACTCTTTTTCTTGTTTCAATATTTGATAATACTTATTTTAACTTGAGAAGGAAGATGTGAGTTGCGCCAGTTGGCTAAGGGCAATGAGTATGATCCCTTACACTCAAGTTTAAGTTTCCTTCCTTGTAGATTAAATTAATTTAGAGTAATTTAGACTATCATTTATATAAAATAAATTTTTTAAAAAAAAAAACTTGAAAAGAAAAGGAATGGAGAGTAAAGTGAGGGTAAAATAAGAATTGTACTTTTTGATTTGGCAAAAGAGAATGGGAGAATGGTGGGTATGTGTCAACAAGAATGCAATCTCTATCATGTCTTTGTGTGCACCATTCACACGTCATAATTCACAAGTCACACGTCAGAATTCACAAGTCGTGTGTTTGTTATGTGTGCACCATTCCATTCCTTATTTATACTACGTTTTGATTGTGAAATGCCAACAACGGGTCCACGACCGGATCCATTTAATTTCATTAAAAATAATAAAAAAATATAACAATAATATTAGTAGGCAACTTCACCAACCACAGAATGAGTCTAGAAATAATGAAACCCATTTCAATGATGACGCCAGGTTTGTCCAACTACATCAATCAACATCGGGACAGAGATATAGCACCAAATGAAACAAAACACTAATTTTACCCAATTAACTCCATAACTAATGGAGACGGGAATTAAATTAGTTGACCGAGACAGTGTATCTGCCCAATTGTATTAGCAATTTATTTGTTAAAATTAAAAGCGGTTTTGTAGTATGTTTATATTTAAATAAATGAAACACACCTCTGACAAATATGGCGTACCAAAGTGTGTGACAAATATATTTACCATATTGTATGAAGCATATTTTGAGAAGAGGAAATAAAAAAAGGGAGAATAATTAGCTGTTGTTTGTGTGAAGTGGCAACACGGCATTGGAGGAACTAGATTTGTCTCTGAGACCTGCAAAACACAAGATCCATATTTCCCGCAACAATTGCGTTGCGCTGCGCACACGTGTTGGTCTCAGGGAGCTCAATCTGGTTTTTTATTTTTCTTTTTAAGTTTTTAAAATTTTAAAGTTTGTTGTGTAGCGTAGTAGAGACTGTAGAAGCAGCTGCTTCTCTTTGCGTAATCACTAAACCAGTGGGAAGTCCATGTGCATCAATGTGGAAAAATAATTAAACAAAAGCATACAGTACGCCCCGTAGCGCACGTTAGCATCAACCCCTTGTCCCCTCTCTCTTCTCTCTCCCCGAATATACAGGGGACGGTTTCGAAATGCTCGCTTAGATTTCCTTGTCTTCAGTCACACAGCTGACACTGACGCATAACACACAGTGACTCAGCTTTTCATCTCACCACCCACGGCGCATTTTAGCCTCCGTCTCCTCCATCTTCTTCAATCTCTCTCTCTCTCTCTCTCTCTCTCTCTCTATTGCATTGTATCAGAT